TGACTTTAGAATAAAAAGTACGTTGAAAACATATTTCTTCCTACCGACCCCAAAAATGATTCCTCTTTATTGGCTTTATGTCCCCTCAGCTCTTAAGATGATTCCCCCCCCCCGTTTTTGACGTTTCCTGCTAAGCGTCTTTTCAACGTCTGAACTAGTCTTCCATTCATTTCTCCAATAATAACTACCATCCTTACGGGGCTCTCTCGGGAACTGCATCGTCACCCGCATCGAACTTGAATCCCCCATCAACCTCGCGCAACACAACTGTAACCTCAGCCCACCCCCCACTCTCATCATTCCACCACATCGCTCATCTTACAGACAGCTGAAAAGATACGATGAAGTAATCATGTTATGTTGTTTCCACAGAAGCTGTGTAACACAACACTGCATACAATATATTAGTCCGTGACCCCTAATCCTCGTCGCACAGTAGTCCTGCAAGCAGATGACTTGTAGCTTTCTCAAATGAGGGATCAAAAGTTCGTGCCTCTGTTGCATATCTAGAAATTCTGTCGTTCCGCCTTTGCCATCTGTTTGGGTGCAAACTGGAGAAAAAATTATGCTGTTTGATAACTAGGGAACATCTCCCATACAATGACTTTAAGATAATGAAAGTCCGTCCATCTGACTGTGTGAAACCTCGAATCGTACCCGTCCTGGGTATTCACAATCATAAAAAATGCGATTCCTGTTCCCCAGCCTTATCAATACAATTCAAGACTCCTGGCTCTCGTCGTACAGCATCTGGTTCAATGCACCCAAAATCAATGCATCTTTACTAACCATTGTGCCTCTAGAGTGTGGGCGCTCTTTTTAACCCCACGCAGTACCTCACAAATAGCTGGTCCATAAAGTGAGCATGTTTAATGCCCTTCGGTCTTCTCTTAGCGAATTCATCAATCGCCCCTTGAACTCCATACCCACACCTTTCCACCAGATAACATACAATGAAATATCCAGTTCTGTTGAAGCCATAGTGACAGTGTACCCCCACAAACCACTCACCCTCAGCCCCTCCCTTTTCCTTTCTTGCCGCCTGCTCATCTCTTAGCCGATCAATCAAATTGATGAAGGTGACAACCTCGTCAGATGTGGGTGGGATTTTAGATACCGTCGGGAATTTGTGGTATCGTATTCCGCCCTTTTCAAGACCTCGTGGATCGTACACCGGACTTTCGTGGCTAATATCCACAATATCCTTGATCTGCTCGCCCCAATCTTTCACAAAGACCTCTGGACAATGACTATCATCTACCTCTCTCAAAGTTTTCATGGCACGAAACACACCCGCGATAGGCTCTGAAACAGGCGCCACTGCTTGCCACTTTGCCAAATTCTTCACATCCCATTTGCCGGAAGTAGAGAGAAATTGTAGTTGCCAGCCCAAGGATAACCGAGGTGACACTTGGGTGCAAAGAAAATCAGATATAAGGCCTGCAAGGGTTCTCACAGTGGATGGCATGTAGAGCAAAGCATGCGAAGCGGGGGCTGGAATGATTGTCGTTTTTAGGACCCGCTTCGGTCTGAGAGGTTGCGGAGGGATGTTTTCGATTCTTTCAATATCATTCGGTGTTGATGGGTCTTCCAGCGATTCCACAGCGGTATCAGGTGTTTCTTCGAGAAGCAGGTCTTCAGTTGAGGGATTGATACCATTGCTTATAGATTTGTTCTTCTCAGACAGATCAACAGGCGCAGCTGCATCAACTATAGGCTCACTTTTATCGTTGGGGTCAATTTGGACCGGGTGAGACTTTCCAAGAAATTGGGCGATCTTTTCAATTTCCCCAGGCTTTGTGATATTATCAGCTGCCCCAGCAACAAGGAAGACAGGCATATCCAGCCCCTTCCAGACATCTCTGCCCGCAAGTCCACCTTTCGCAATGTGGTTTTCATAATCGGGCAAAGTGCCAGCTGCCATTCTCCTCCATACTGCGGTTTTACTCTGGCTATTGAATCGTTCTTGAAGCCTTTTGGTTTCGTCATCTGCTGAAGGGCCAACAAATCTATGCACACTCGCACTCTCAGGGCCACCTCGCCGATCCCAGTTTCGCCAAAGATCAAAAATGAGATTCGGGACCAAAAGTAGCTTCTTAAACTTACTAACCTCGTCTTCACTAGGGGGTTCCGCGCGAGGGCAGATGGCCTAAATGTTTGATTAGTAAGCAACAATATACCTTACATATGATTCAATTCCTTACAACAAGTCCCATGACGTTCTCTGATAGCGCAATTGATTGTGGCGACGTTGTAGACGCAAGTAAGGCGGCTATAGAGCAACCCAAGCTATGTCCAATCAAAACCACACCCTGCTTCGTATCCTTCTCTCTATAGTCCTCAATGACTCTCCCCACAAGCTCTGCAAGAGCGTCCACAGTATAAGCATCCCAAGGTAATTTTGGGTCGAATGCAGAGAGGCCGCAGCCTGGTAGGTCGATTGAAAGACATGATGCCAAATTCACCAGGCTTGTTAATAGAGGGTTAAATTGCGCAACTGAACCTCCCAGACCATGGATAAAAACTAGTAGAGGTAGTGGGGCAGGTTTTGTAGGTAGCTTGTCGGCTTGAGCATGTCTGCTGAAGAAAATTCGGAGTGAAGGATATGTGAAACGACTCGTGGTGTAGGATTTTATCTCAGAATGTTTTTTTAAAAGTCCTGGGTCGACAACTTCGGAATCTACAAATCCAATGAATCAGTAATCTTGCCCAGCAATTCCCTATTTTGCGGAAAGAGTGAGCGTTGCGACAGAGCTCACCATTGATATCTATACTCTGATTAGGAATGGTTCCATGTGCACTTCCATTGAGTGATTTCGTGTCATTGTAAGCCTTGCTCTTCCTTCCATTTCGCAGATACCAGAAAGTAGGAAATACACTACACAGAAGAGCAATTTGCACCATATCCCGACTGCTCAACTTTCCCTGGATTGTATTGGTATAAACTCGGCTTGCACTGGCTGCAACAGCCTGTATTGGTAAGATTAGTTTGCTAGAGGAGTCTGGCAACGGCGAAACGCTGTTACCTGGTAAAGCAAGAATGAGAGGAAATAATGAACATAACGATAGCGATAGCAGCAACAAGAAAGCTGCCATTCTTGTAGTAACCCCCAGATGTGTTTTGGGGTCTGACAAAAAAGCAAAGTCCTATCGGGGATTTACTTTCTGGATGTAGTCAAAGTACTCATAGCCAATAACGTTGTCACGCTGCTCTGTGGAAGCTGAACTCGAATGAGTGATCGATGCTCCTTTCCCGGACAATAGAGGGGAATTGGATTATAGCAGATGAGACAGACAGGAACGTGGCTCTTCTCGGGAGACGGTGTCTGAGAATCCGTAGCTGACTCTGGGGGGGATCTCCTTATTTTTTCTAGTGCTCCTATCAAGGTTTTTTAATGTGCGTACTTTTGTACTGGTGGTGTACACATTTTTCTCCAAGGCGTGCGGTTGCTTTGTGCGATTGCGATTAGAGATTACGTGACTCACCCAGTATTATGGATAGGGACTGGTGGGATGGATTGATTGATTGACAATTTGATATGGAGGAGCTTGGTGGTCCTTCCCCATTGAATTCTCTTTTTTGGGCTCGTGTTAAAATCCTTTGTCTCCATTGGCCAAATCTCCTCAGTTGTGGATTCCAGCTACTTGCTCTACGAGTACAGTACAGAGGTTGGAAGGGTAATTAATGTAAACCCCACTTTTACTAAAATCTTGCTGTTTTTATAGATTTTGCTGCTGCTTTAAGCGATTTGAATAGATATTGAGCTGTTCCCCCCAAAATTCAATCTTTGAAGCTTTTACTTGCTTTTTATCAATTCTAATAGTTTTTTAATATTTGAAACATTTGAAGGTTTCTATAGGTTCTAAATAGATTCAGGATAAAAATTCGAATTTGAAATCCAATCAAAATCATTGATTTCAATAAAAAGTAAATAATTTTGAATAAAACGTGACTTTTACAATACTTCCACCACCTAGAGTTCACCATATAAATTTTCAACCAGCGTGACGTTATGATTGGCTAAAGCCCCTAAATATGGAGAAAAGCACGGTCGGTTTTTGGTGGGTTTTACATTACTTACCCATCCAACCTCTGTATGTACTTACAATATGTCGAACAACACAAAGATCTCATTTTTTGTCTCACGCAATGAATCCCTATTGATGAGTACTGGGTATGTACATTCCGATCGAGTATCTACTTCGTATTAGTATTAGCATATATCGCGGACTGCATTACAAATGTATTGAATTGGAATTGCGACGATTACAACGTCAACTCCATTCTTCAAATACGCGTGGTCGTTCAGCAGGTGTACATATGTGAGAGCGAAGCGAAAAGGCCCTCCACGCTAGTAAGCCAAAGGAACATCATCAAGAGGAGGTTGTGGATGCAACTAGCACGAATTATGGCAGATTAAGTGTATGTGGGTTGTTTACCAGTAGTCCATCACTCCTTCCTTTGGGTCCGGGATCTATGCGAGTACAACTACATAGGTATGCATGCAAGCCAGAAAGGACTTGGTACCCAGCCTGGATGAAGGTCACTACCGCGCCCGGGAGTATACCCTTTGGTTATAAGCCAACTCGGTCCTCTAAAATCATAAGAAGTAGGTCAAATCAGAATGGATGGTCTCAGATCGTCTTTTGTTACCCGTCTCGACGATTTACAATCACTCTTTGCGAATCAGCTCGAATTATCAAATATCCGGCTCAATATTTTACAAACAAAGCAAAATAATGGATAGCGCATGAGACTCCTCACATTTTGCAAATATTTTATCATTTAATTATAGTTCCTGCATTCGGGGAAAGATAACGGGCTGAGACAATCGACGCTGACATCTACCGTAAGAGGCGATTATCTGGTACCTTGGACAGCCATTTCTTTCATCTAAACTAACATATTTGGATAGATTGTAAGATATATACATATGCGAAAAGTCTACTATACATTAAGTACCTTGATGTTTGAGAAAGAATGAAGATTGAGTCAAAATTTAATCGAGGTTATAGGAAAGCTTGAATGGGATAGGAGCAGCCTTCTTCTCTGGGTGATCTCTACTGGATTTGAAAGGTGGTGTGTATTTATACTGTGTGATCTTTTTCAATGGCGATGGCTCGGGAGTAGTCAAATCAATGCTCCTGGAACTGGCTTGCTTTGATGATGATGAGCTATGAGTTGCAGCTTTGCTCAGGTTTCGTTCACGTGAGCTCTGGGCAGATCTTGAAGGGGTGACAGGCTCCGTCGCCTTTAATCTGTTTGAGGATAAAGCTCTCGCATGTCTTGTCGGAGGCGTTATTTCTGGGGTAGGTAAAACATCCGCAGGTCTGTCAGGTGAAGCTGTTCTCGAACTTCTCAAGCTCATGGAATCTAAATCATCAGATGCTGTGTAAAACTCTGTTTGGACGGGTGAAGATATGGATGGCACGTTGCGACGGCTTGGCAAGTTGCGATCTACAGGCTTGGAAAGTAAACTCCTTTTTGCCTGCTGAAACTCTGCTATTGCTCGTGATCGCTCAGAAGGTACAGCATGGCCGTGCAGCCTGCCACTCCTTACTGAAGTAGAGTAATGGTCCACTGCTGTACCTCGTGGTGGAGGCACTTTGGCGTATTTTGTCGAATTCAAAGGCAGGCTAGAATTCGTGGACTTCATATCCACTTTTGTGCTTCGTTGTTTAGTTGAAGGCAAGTGCGTGTTGCTAGAAAGATCTTTCTGCACGTTGTGTGTTGGGGTTTGCCTCCTCAAATGAAGGGTAGATGAGTTAGACTTCGATTCGTTGACTTGATCGACAGTTCGAGGGTGAACGTATGATCTTTTGGCCTTTGGTTGCAAATCATTGGCATGGAAGATGGATGATCCATCATCAAAGTCGTCATCGTAATCGTCCAACAACCTCTTCCGCTTCCCTTCAGATTTGCTTTTCCAAGATGGGGAAACCTCAGGCATGCTGTTGTCTACCGTCTTCCCTGACTTATTTGCCTTGGGCATTGAGTACTTCGTTATTCGAGATTGTCCATTTTGTGCAGTATGCTTCCCCCGGAGCCGCTTTTTCCCATTCACCTTCACCCACTCTGCTTCCACGAAAGTTTTTGCAGCAATTATTTCGAATTCGATGCCCGTCGAATCCCTCAATATAGTGGCAAAATTTATACAACCCTCACAGGGGTCTTTATCGATGTAGATTTGTGCCCGGAGCGGCGGTCTTAGTTTCCAAAGTTCTTCTAATCTAAACATTGCAATATCGCCGGTCTCCGGGTCGTAGATCAAATCCAGTACGAGCATCAGTATGAGCTTTTTCTCAACATGGCAGGCCGCATATCTTCCGATTTCAGTTTTGTCCCAGCAATTTCTTCGAAGTTTGAAGCCTAAATAATTGCAAAATTGCAATACTTGCTACAAAGTCGATAGATTAGCATCACCTTGCATGGAACAAACAAGAGTACTGCCTGTGGTCCAGTTCTCACAACTAGAACATAAATGCTTTCCCCAACAGAAGTCATAAAACTTACAGCTGAGCAAAATTCGTTGTCCCTTAATGAATCGTCACAGTCTCTTCTTCCCCAACCACTTGCTGCTTTGAACTTAACCCTCTCGCCCTTGAGACGAATGAATCCAAAGGTTTTGCCTGTACCATCACTTTTGTAGGTTGCTATTGGTTCTGCGAACAGCATTCTACCATTCACATTCGCAATGACTACCTCATCACTATTAACAGGCGGTGCTGGAGAAAAAGAGTTGACCGAGTTTTGCTTGAAGTACTCTGCCATAGATTTGCACGTCCTTTTCAAAGCCGAAATATGTTGCAATGATGGAGGTCTCTCAGGAATATTATATGCCAAGCCATCTGCTATCTTTGGCATCAACGTGCTCTGCCTCCATGTATGTCCATTGTGACTTGAAGGTTGATTCGGTGTCGCCGAATACTCGATCAAGTGCCTGGTGCTGGTGCTGGTACTTGTGCTAGCAGTCGTTTTGGCAGTAGTCTGCACGACTTCAATGATAGGTTTTGGTAAACCATAAGAGTCAAAGATTCCATTTCCTTTGCGATTGCGAGGCATATCTATCGTTCATGCAATATGAAAGGGGTTGAAAAGATAGAAGGTTGGATATTGAGAAGTAAGGAAAGCTGAAAGTTCACAATTTGTGCGAGGCTTGAGGGGAAAAAGTAAAGTTGTGGCAAAGACAACCGATCTTGATATTAAATGTAATAGGTCACATTGAAGCTCTCCGCCGACGCCCGAGGCAGTGAGCCTGGAGGTGCAATTTCCCGTAATAATATCAGAACCCGTAAAAGCTGTGTTCGTTCGACTCCTCTCAGCGAGTGAGGCTGCCTTACTTGAGACAAATTCACAATCAACTTTACTCGCCAAAAGTAATTTTGGTCAATAAGGTTGTACCTCAACAATTAAAGTACATTCTCAATCTAATCTTCGCTTTTCGACTAGCGTAGCGACTCTCACAGCAGACTTCTATGAAGGTCTATATATCAAAGAAGACAATGCCTAGGTATGATATAGGCCTAAAGCCTAAATAAAGCCTGAAGATACTTTCAAAGCGATCAAAATTGATTACTGATATTAATTACCTTTCCTAAAACGGACCTTTGAGCATTCAGTCCAACAAATCCGGAGGAAACCTCAATAGTTAAAGTAGATGCTTCAATATCAAATCTTTCATTATCCTACGGAATACTGCACGCTCGGATCACATTAGGTAGATCAAATGACTAAAGTGAGAGATTCAATGTGAATATCTGCCAGCAATGTCTAAAGGACGCAACCACGAGAATTACAATAAGTGCTCAACACCAGATTTGTAGCTCTACACCCATATGGCAATATGGTTTTCGTATACCAATATGATGTTTCGCAGTATTCAATATTTCCACCATGTCATATCTTGTTCCTTGCATTAAATGCCTGTTTGAGCTCCAAATAATGATTTTTTTGAGACCTTTCGAAATTGTAAAAGAAATTCAAGGGATTTTATTGATTTCTTGCGTATGTGTCTCATTCCAAATGACAGCTGAGGATGAGCTCAATATTATATACATAAACCCTTTGTGGAGCTCTTTCATGAGCTGTCCGCGCCTTTCGTTGTCTGTCATTTCTTGATTTTTAAACGTTGAACTTTGACATCATGTTCGTTTCTCAGGGATTTGTTCTTGTTGCGCTTTCTATCTTTGAATCTTCCGCTGCTTACGAATTTGGCAAAAGACAAGCGACGTTATCCTTATGTCCCATTCAGGAGACAATTACTGTCACTGCCTCAGAATGTCCAATTTTCTCTTCTTCCGCACCTCCCAGCAGTGGTGTATATTCGACTCCTGGCTTCACATCTGCCTCCACTAGCTCCGAGATCCTGACCAGTACATCAGCATCCAGCAGTGTAGCTGCTACTTATACAAGTCCTAGTCCTGTCTCTTCAATTGAATCTTCCACGCTCGTATCATCATTCTTGGGAACCCTCTCTTCTACCGAAAGTTTGGTATCTTCGTCATTCTCTTCTGAACCTTCGCTTCCATCAACCAGTCTTGTTATTCCTGTAACTACTTTGGGGCCTTCTTCGATAATCACGGAAGGATCCACTTCAATTCCAGCCTTTACTTCGAGCAGTGCTGTTATTTCAGACCCTTCTTCTTCGGCAATCCAGACCTCAGTTGAATCTTCCGCGGTAGTCTCAGAAGCCTCCACAGAAACCTCCTCAGCCTATGTCACGCCTACAGTATCAAACAGTATATCTGTATCATCTGTGCCAGTTTCCTCCGAATCGACAAGCGTTCCGGAGTTATCGACGTCAATTTTGGAACCAAGCAGTGTTATCCAGAGCGAAAGTTCTATATTTACTTCCCTCACATCCACTGAACCTAGCACTTCAATTGAATTCTCCTCGGCTTCGAGCTTAGTTCCCAGTACCGCAGCTTCCACCACATACACTTTGCTACCCTCTTCCTCATTCGTAACTTCAGCACTCCCTTCTTCTGCAGCCACATCGACAAGCATATACACAGTAACCTCTTCCGCACCTCTACCCTCCATTTCATCCATCACAATAACCACAACCGTTATTAGTACAGTTGGAGGCCAAACCACGACCGTTTTATCAACATTTACACAAGCCACTACTGTTGCAACGACCGTCATAACCACCGTCCAAGTACCAACTACCGTGGTTAGCCTAGGTACCACGACTGTTATACAATATACTACTGTGTCACCTCCAGCCTGTACTATCCATCCTACTTTGATCAATGGTGGGTTCGAAAGTGGAAATGGTATCGAGCCTTTTGAAGCAGTGGCTACAGGACCCAACGCTCCTAGTTACACCACTGCAGCCGTTCCTCATAGTGGATCAACCAGTTTGTGAGTTTCTCCTCGTCCCCAAAAGATAGATACATGTACTAATCCTTGAACTTCCTTTCCCAGAGAGTTACTTTTCTTCCCATCATCCTCAGCTACCTCATACATAACTCTAACCCAAACCGTATCCGCTTGTTCCTCGTACAATTATCTCCTTACTGGTTACGTGAAAGCAAGTAACAACCTCAGCATCAATCCATCATCCAATTGCTACATCTACCGTAAGTCCTCTTTAACATTCCGTTCCCCCACTTTTTCCCCGAACAAATCATTAACCCTCTCTTTAGTTCAAACCCCCACGCAATCCTCCCTCACTACCCTCATCAACTCCTCCACTTACCCTGGTTGGAGCATGATCTATCTCTTCTTCACTGCTCCTGGAAGCGTCGGAGATGGAGTGCAGAGTGTACCTTTGACAGTGCATTCTTACTGTGATAGCGGGGCTACCGATTCACCAGGATTGTATCTGGACGATCTTGTTGTTAGCGGTTAATGGTTTGAAGACAGTGGGAGGGGTGCGAGATGAGAAATGGTGGTTGGTTTGAGATGGAGGAAGGGGAATGAGAAGTAGGAGACATAAATTGGAAAAGCCTTTTCTTTTAGTTTGTTGTTTAATTACTGTATTGGTGCGTGATTTAGAGGTTGTATTAGTGTGAAAGGGAGTGTGTAAGGTTAGTGACAGATTGTTGGATTAGTGAGTAGCTGTTGTATGCATTAATAGATAGATGAAATTAAAGATTGATCATTCTTTGAAATGAGTTGAACCCTTTTTTTTCGAACAAAACACTCACTAGGTGACGAGACATTGTGTAAACATTATACGCCATGATTTTAATTAGGTATTTATAGTACCTATTCTGTATCAAGTATCTGCATGCCCATTTCATTTAAAACCCCGCCATGCTTGACAATTCTCATAAGGAGAAACGCGATCTATTGATGTGAAAAGCAAACAAAAACTTTGAAGAGAGAAGTAACAAGCTTCCGCAACAGTGAACCATAAAGTATCACTCAACCGGTTTACTGCTCACTCTCTGTCTTCTCACAAATCAACAATTTTCTACCGTCTCCCGCGGCCCAGACAAACTGGTAACAACTAACTCCCCATCCTATATTAATAAATCGCCGGCCCATTTCAGGTACCATCGCAATCCGTGATATCTCCGGAGAAATTGCCAGTAATCTATTTATAACTTCCGCGCCTTTACGCAGGCTAGCAGGGTCTTCTACGCAGTGTTTGGGCCCACCACATATTCCGGGGGGGTTATTGGTTTCGAAAGTCTTGATACTGAACGTTGTGAGCTGGGATAGAGGTGCGGGGATCAAAGAATGAGTGTTGGTATTTGGAGTGCTCTGCTTGGGATCGACAGCGAGGGAGTTCTCGAGGGAGCGGAGGACAATTGGAAGGACCGTGATAGAACGGAGGGTCTCGTTGTGAATGATCGGGTATACGGAACCCCGTCTTTCATGGCCCAGAATGTAAGAGAGGGAGGCTAGGTTCGCAGCGTAATTCAGATTCTATGAGGAAAATTAGTTGGCTGGTTGGAGAGAAAATGGGATGGGAGATAGACATACGCAGCTGAGATCGTCGAATGTAGGAGCAGAGCGTTTTTTCCATCGCTCAGCACCGATGTACTGTGTGTAAAGGTAATCGGTGCTGTGAATGTCACATTGTTAGCATTATGTGTGAAGGGTTGTAAATTCAAAAGGCACAATATGACATGTCGAAGTAGAAAGGTGGATTCAGAACAACCTAGATATCGAATGTCTCTCGGTCTGACGTTGCCAAGATAGGCCCTCGAATTTGAGAGAGGATTGAGAAGGGAAGAGAACTAACCTTAAGATGATGTAAATACTGCGAATATTATCCAACATTGTTGGAGATAATTTCGAGAGAGAAGGATAATGCAAAACCCAACCACGTAGAGGCAGATTATGATTACTATCGCCGATGTTGGGATGAAGGCCAAGCTCTTTTTCTTGCAAATAAACCCACGCCTTATACTCAAAACTGCTTTTCGAGCTATCGGTCACCCACTCCGTGATCTCCTCAGGTGGATCTGCAACTTGAACTTCGGGAGGGAAACTATAGACATGGCTCCAAGTAACGCTAGGACGAAGTTCAAGTGTACATTGCTTAATCCTCAAAGCAAAGAACTCTCGATAGAGCTTCTGATCAGGGATCAAAGCGATTTCAAAGGCAGGAAGATCTTTGAGAGGCAATCCTGCGTTTCCTGATACAACGATCTTTTTACAGAGTCCCATGATCCAGTTTTGGTAGACCAGCACTGAACGTTCAGGGAACTCCTCAAAGTAATCCTTGAGAATAAGACGGAAGACCTGCTCCCTGATTTCGGGTGGAATAATATTGAGGTTGCATGTCTTGTTGATATTCTTTCGCTTCTCACCAATTGACTTGGTTCTGAGCTCTGTGTGGACGCGAAGTGTGTCTTCAGTTGGTGGCATAAGTTTCGACCTTGACTTGTAAGAGGCGATAATATCAACAAAGAAGTTTGGCGGCGCAATTTTTGACTAAAAGATGATGAGTTTTGGACATTGATAATTTGTAATCTGGTGTTTGCAAAACTTACAAGATGTATAAGATCTTCCCGTCCCCAAGGTTCAAACTTCTTGCAAACATCAAGATATCGTTGTTGATCACCCTCCTGAAGTCTTCCTGTCAGTTCGTCGCGCGAATGAAAGTCCAATCCATCAACAAGCTTCTGAAATGAGTCCATGTCAACCCCAAACGAACTTCGTTGATTCATTATGTCAACTTTCAAAGTTGTCGATCTGAAGAGTTGGATTTTATGTAAAGGAACAGAGGGAGGGAGGAAGTCAAGGTTTGGGGACTGGGCTGCTTGAGATTACTAGGTCGTTGTGGTATCCGATGTTTTTGGGTGACAATTCTGGAAGTGAATCTCGCTTCAGCTGATCTCAAGGTGAATTCACTCGCTCTTCAACCCTGGTTTTGAGAAATACTATGTAGATGAAGACATCCTCTCGCTTCTGCAACGATTGAATGTGAGTTTTGCAAGTCGTGACGAGGATACCTAATTCTACGTAACTTGACTACCTACACCGATACCTCATGAATGCGATCAGATTGCATTTTAAAAGATGCCCTGGCGTAAGGATATTTTCCAATTCAGATCTGACAATCTAATAACCCTTCAATTTTGTGTGATTTGAAGGACTTGGTCTCAACGGGTATGTCATGTCACTCATGCTTTCCCCCCCAGCAGGCAAGGAGATCGTTTTCTATCGTAACGCGTTCAATGAGTTCAGAGATATGTTGTATATCATGTTTCAAAAATGTCCAGAATTAGATGTAGACAACTATTTTTCATTGCGGCATGTAACTTTACTGCACTAAAGAATGTAAATGGTAGATCGGAATCAATTTCCATGAAAGAATCATTGTAAAACATTTGTTACCAGTACTACCTACCTAGTATGTATGTCTTTGTATTGCAATATCGTTTCTACTATCATGTTCGAGATCGTTACAATATGTACCTAGGTAGTATCACAAAGTGTTGTGAAGTGTGAAATATGACGTGGCGGATCTTGAGGCTCTCTCTCCGCTCTGTTTGGTAGATGATCCGTGATTATGCATACTGTAACCCCCGCCCCGCCGCTTGCTCGCTGTCGACCTGTCACATTGCGAGTTTGCATTAACACCCACCACCCGCTCTTACAATCCAAAGTTGTTCTCCGTGAGAACAACTTCAACAACTTCAACAATGACCAAATATGAAGAAGACTATACTTCTTTGCTTTATTCACGGGTAAGAAAGATATGCTGACACTCTTTTTAATATCGCACAGACTAATCCTCGAGCCAGCTTTAAAGGAGGAGATGATACTTTTGGATCCTTTCCTGAACATCTTCAAGCTCTCGTAAGCCATGGCCTCCCAAAAGTTAAGGTTCGCGCGATCACATATCCGCAATACGAAACTCGAGGAGATCTGGGAGAATGTGTGAGCAGGTTCAGAGATTGGTATTGTCACCCCTTGAATTAGTATTGAAACCTAAAGCTAATAGATTTTGCACAGGCTTCAAGAAAAGGTAATCGATATCGAAGTCCAAAATGGAACACCTTCTCCAACCGTCGACCCTTCTGTCCGCACGATACTTATTGGTCATTCCATGGGAGGAATCGTCGCTGCTGACACAGCACTGGCAATCACATCAGATAAGGTGATAGATTCGAAAGAAACTACAGATGCAATAAATGCTTTCATGTTCCCATATATTCAGGGCGTTCTTGCATTCGATACTCCTTACTTGGGCATATCGCCAGGTGTAGTTGCGCACGGTGCTGAAGGTCATTACAATGCAGCTACATCGGCTTTCGCGCAAGTGAGTAGTCTGGCAGGTGCACTATGGGGCGATAAGGAGGTAGACAAAACGGTAGAGGAAAAGAAACCAGTTGCGGCATTACCAGCACCACCGCCCCAAGAAGCACCTGCCTGGAAGAAATGGGGAACGTTGGCAATGTATGCTGGAGCAGCAGGCGCTATTGCTGCTGGAGGTGCAGCTGCGTACTTCAAAAAGGATCAGATTCAGGAAGGGTGGTCATGGGTAGGATCACATCTTGAGTTCGTGGGATGCCTAATGAAGGGTGAAGAATTGAAGAAGAGGGTAACTGGGATGGTTACTTTACAGAAGGAATTAGAGGTCGGTTGGGCAAATTTGTATACAAGGTTGGGCAAAGAGGCAGTGAGTAAAGCTGATGGGAGCTTGGTGGGGAGTGTGATTGGAAACCAGAGGACATTTTGCAACCTACCGAAAACTAGCGCCAAGGATTTCTTTCGAGAGGCGATCAATGACAAGGCCGCTGATGAGACAAGTGCGCATATGAGTAAGTTTCCACGAAGATTTGAAGTTTTGGGGGCTAATAATTTCCCAGCTATGTTCTTTCCAAAAGACAATCCAGGATATTATACTTTATCTGAGGATGCAAAGAAACTGATAGTGGAGTGGTCGACTAATGAGTGGTACGAATCAAGTACAAGAGAACGCTCTACGAGCACAAGAGAAGGCTCTACACCCACAAGAGAGCGTTCTATAAGCACACGAGAACGTTCGACACCCACAAGAGAGCGTTCTATAAGCACACGAGAACGCTCTACAAGTACAAGAGAACGCCCTACACCCACAAGAGAACGTTCTATAAGCACAAAAGAACACTCTACAAGTACAAGAGAACGCCCCTCAATCACAAGAGAGCCTTCTAAAAATACAAGAGAACGCCCTACAATCACAAGAGAACGTTCCACTAAGATCGAGCACGAATTACGATAATAGCAATATGTTTGGAGTTTGAATTTGAACGAAAACGAGAGAGCCGGCGTTGTTGGATGAAGGGTACATGGACGGCAAATAGACAGATTACCAGAGCGATATAGAAAGACTCCACTACCTTTCCAGAATGAAATAAAGCTCATGCAATATATGTTCCCGATGTATCATGACTCGACTTTGTTGTGCACTGTCACTAGATTACATCATTATCCCACCTATTGCGGGGTTGAAGGGTGTTTACATCCGTGATAGTCGGAAAAATGGCGATCTGGCGGCACCATTGATGAAGCTTTTGAGATCAAATATATTGGCATGAGCCGCTAAGCTTATTTTGTGCACATTCTATGAACACATACCGTGTTTATTCGGATATCTTCCTTGGCCTGTCATGATTAATGCATCAAAACTCTCACGGTCTATACTCGGTCTCGTTTTGAATGAATGCCGACCTCAATTGAGCTAGTGTACATCATATCAAAAACCATTAAAAGTCACTTGTTTCAAAACTCCATATCAATTTAAATAAAAAGAATAAAGAAATAAGATTTTATAATTAGTTAGATATTTAATCAAATTTTATATATATATTTTCAAAAATAAAGTAATTTTATTTCAATTTTGAATTATTTAAAAAATAAAAGAATTAATAATATAAAAACAAAACTCGCTAATTTTCAGGCTTTAATTTCTTAAAATTAAGACCTAAAATATTACTTTTCGAATCTGATTTCTTTTGATTATTATTTCTTCAATATTTTATTTAAAAATCTCAAGTTTTAACATAAAATATATTAATAAATTTTGTTTTTATTAAAAAAAGATTCAATAAGTCGGGTACCTTACTTTCGGGCCACCCCTGTTTTGGGCCACCCTTTCACACCAAAAATCACTTTTTAGGTCTATTAATATTTCTATCAATATACAATATGATTTATTAAAAATTCATATATATATAATTTAGATCGATTTAAGCCTATTCTGAAATTTTCAGATTTTTAGGATTTTTCTATATCGAGATCTAGAGCTTCAAAATATCAATTTTTTAATTTGTATAGGAATCATATACAAATTTAGAAATTTTATAAAATCTTTAATAACTTTTTAATAATAATTATTAAAAGAAAACCATATATATTTTTGAGATCTTTAAACTTGAATTTATATAGAGATTCAAAAAAAAATTCGAAAAAATTAGCAGATATAGAGATATAGTATACGGTGAGTTTAGAGTAGTATAAATAATCCTTGTTATTTTGAGGGTATCTTTATAAATATTTATTTATAAGAGATTTTCTATTTTTTCCGAATCTCTTAGATAAAGTATATTGTAAATTTATGATAAAATTTTATAGTTTATTTTTAGCAATTTTTATCAAAAAGTTATTAAAGATTTTATAAAATTTTCAAATTTGTATATAATTCCTATACAAATTTGAAAATCGATTTTTTGAAGCTCTATATCTCAATACAGAAAAATCCTGAAAATCTGAAAATTTCAGATTAAGCTTCAATCGATCTAAATTATATATATACAAATTTTCATTAAATTCTATCCATAAATAAAAAAGTTATAAATTCCATTTTTGGTGTATTTTGGGTATAAAAAGTGGCCCAAAAGGGGGGTGGCCCGAAAGTAGGGTACCCGACTTAAAATATCTATATTAATTCTTTTGATATTGAATTTTGAAAATACTAAATAATCACAAATTTGAGTAAAGAATTCGTCTAAATTTGAGGTCGGCATTTATTCAAAACGAGACCGAGTAGTGTGATCTTTGTATATACAATGAGGACTAATTCCAGTCTAAGGTTTCAAGTGTCATTGTTGTTCGCGATTTTGCAAGCGGGATTGTCATCTTCATGGGTATTCATTATTGCACGTAGGTGAGTAAAAAATTCGTTTGGACAGTGAGCTTTGAGCCCAAATTTACAAGTTGAAGACGGCCAAGTAATTTTTAATTAATTCTTTTGATTTCGATTATTCCGGAATATAATCCTATTTATAGCGTATTTCGCATTTGTTCATTCGTTATTCATATCATATCTCATCCATAATTTACAACAAGAAAGCAGCGAAGCTTGCAACACCGATACTTCCAACCCACATTAAGGATCCCATAGCACCATAGGCGACAGGTGCGACAGCCAGAGCTCCAGCCGCGCTAGAACTGGTGGCAGCAGCTGTGCCGGAGGTTCCACTCGCGGAGGCGGTTGCAGTCGCGGAAGCTGGGAGGCTGGAAAGGGCTGCATCAGCAGCAAAGCTTGCTGATACACCGGTTGCGTTCTTGCATGAAGTAGGGGCAGCGGTTGCCGATCCGGTAACGAAAGATACGGCGGCGCATTGGTAGAGGAGTCCTGGAGAAAGAAATACAGTTAGTTTATGAAAGAGATTAGAGAGCTGGGGATTGGCTAGAGAAGTGCGCATACCATCTGGACCATCAGCAACAACATTTATGACACCTTGGCTTCCCGCAAATGTGGATGGGACAGTGATTGTTGGTTCGCAGAAAGCACCGAGACCAGTTTGTTGGACAGATGGGATAAGGTTTGTCCAATTGGCTGCAGCAGTATCATTTCCAAGCATAGCTCTGAACAACCATGTTGTAGTTGGATGGGTAGAGGTCCTATTTTCAGTTATATGTTAAAATTGTTCTTGGTACAGATGCATGGTACGCAATTGTTCGAGAGTGAGCGACTAACATTGCAATTGAGTCTCCATCTACGTGGAAGTCGGTAACATTATTGTCAAAACCCACGGTAAAGCCACCACAAGGCGCACTTCCTTCTGCATCATCGTCGAAACCATCTGAAGAAATGTTAGCTTTCTCTTTCTCTTTCTCTTGTGAAGTCAATGTTCAAGCTTGGGAAGCTTACAGGTTGGAGGGTAGTTCAAGAGAAAATGCGCAGAGCATTGGGAGACAACGGTAGCAAGACCGAGAAGAGCTGTTAGACGTGCCATTGTGTGAAAGATCTCTTTGTTGATATTGGAGGACTGGGGATTATTCGCAGGAAGTAGAAGTAAGAGATGAAATTCTTTGAGGCTCCAAGAAAGATACAAAGTGAAAGCTTAATTTACAAATTGACCAAATTCCTGGGGGTGAGCAAGTTATTTAATCTTCTCTCGAGTACCCTGCTGGATATCAAGAAAAAGTGCTCAAATTCCGTATCGAGCCATTATGTTTGTAAGAGGACCATGCTTGGGCCATGCCAAAGGAATATCTTGCTCATCCTTATTTTTTTGATTTTTGAATGGACCCCTTGCCAAGAAGAGGCAAGAGACATATTCATGGATCGTGTACGGTATGTGGCTAAAAAGTATCTGCAGTAGTAGTATCGTATCTATCTACCCGTGAGTACTAGGTATGCCACCATTCGAATTCCGGATGGAAAGATTTCTCCGGGTACCTAGTCGTAGTTCCTTCCTAATTCTTCTAATGTTTCGGATGGTTTCTGATGTTCCTTTACGTGTTCGGGCCAGTAGGGATTATGTGCATCAGACATCAGACATCAGACATCAGAGAGTCAGAGACACTAAAGAAATAGATTATTCCAGACAGAGTTACACAGTCTCGAGATGGGTACCTACTACCTAGTGAGCTAGTCTAGTATCGTATCTTGCTCATTGTCCATGCTCACTGCTCACGGCTCACTCAAGCTATGCTGCTCAACAATGAATCAATGGTTAATTGTCCCAGTAGTATATGACTTACCCGTGTCCGAATGAGTAAACCTTATCGTGACTATCGTTAACTCACGATATTTATGCCCCTCCTCGAGCCCTCCTTCCCATCCTCATTCATCCTCACTCATCCTCCATTTCACAATTCCGTCTCCCTCCATAAAATTACATCTCACGAGTCACAACCTCGGAAAGGTTTCAATATCCCAATATCCCATCCCATATGCAGATATCATTGGTTGAGCAAGTTTTCTGGTTCCTTCCTCATACACTCCATCGACAGAATCCAAAGTGGTCCGTCCCTTCTTCCATGAGCAAGATACGGTAAACGAGCGCAATTGAGCACATTTCAAGCCACTTGGCAGGGATCATAGCCGAGTTTAGTCGCTTGGCATACACATGTTTTGGTCCTCTGTTGATAATTAGGTAGTAAATGCTTAAACTTATCATTCGATTTGGATTTTGGATTTTGGTTCTTGATTTTGAATGACGGTGAAAGAGTGACTGGATTTTCTCTTTTAGTATATTTAATTACGATTTGATCTTGAGGAATTGGGGTTGATTGTGATTAATTGATACCGGAAGTGAGGGAAGGAAAGTTTGGTGACTTTTGTGCATAGTTGCATTGTAATTCCACAAACGAGACTTCTTATCGATCAAAGAAAGAAGAGCAGAAATACAACACCCAGGATTGGCTGATAGCGAAAAAGGTTGGCGGGAACATCGAAATTTACTGAAGTGATCCGGGCTTTCAACATTCGATTACGATAAGTGGGGAAATCATTCATCAACATATTCTCGTCTTGCCTCATCATTTGGAAAGGGGAGAGGCCGACTTTCTTCAAGGAGAATATTTCCGCTGGTTCGGACGCCGGGAAGGCTGCGACGTTGAAGAAGGAGAGGAAGATAAGACGATTACGACTTACGAATTTTCTGGTGAAGGCCGATATATCTAGGACAAGATGGACGCACTTATGAGTGGGATGAGTGGTGGGATGGATATGGGTTCGAATATGATGTTCAGACCTTATAATCAGAAGTTGGCGTTGGGATATTGGTATATTATTGCCGGGTTTGTGGGTGCGGTGTTGCTGTGTAGGGGGTTTGAGAGGTGGAGAGATTGGGATAGGTTAGTGGATTTTCTTCTTCTTCTTTGGAGTTGTGGGAGAAGTTCGTTATTGGTGATTTGACAAAATCATTGCGGGTATCCATTGTTTGGAAACTCAAGCTATGGGATGAACCGGTCATCTTCTTCCGTTGTGATGGGAGGGATGTGGGCATTCAGAGGAATATAGAGTATCCACATCCCAAACGACCTCGCGCCGAAGGGAATCATGAAAGCGCTTTGGAAAACGTTCCAGAGATGAACAAGAGCAACAACAATGACCTGGAGAGATTACAGATCGCTAACATATCCCAACAGACTTCGGAGAAGCAAAATAGTTTCTCTAAAATATCCCACCAAACCGAGTAACCAAATCCAAGAGATATACGCAACAGCTACAGCCATTTTTCGAGAATCATCATATCCTCAAATTCATATTTCAACTCCTTATCTCTCATGGTTATCTCCTCCCTCGTCAGGCCGCACTATTCTTCTTCTTTGCTACTGGGCAATCTTGATCTTCATGATGACATACGACGTCACAATAAAAGATGCCTACTACTATGAACGCATTGGATTTCGGGGCGCTTGGATCTCAGTTACGCAAGTTCCGCTTATCTACTTACTTTCTTCCAAGTCGAACATCATTGGAGCCTTGATTGGAAGTTCTCATGAAAGATTGAACTGGTTTCATCGTTGGGTTTCGAGGACCTTACTTCTTACTGTCACGGTTCATGGTGCCTTCTTCTTTCAGGAATGGGTCCGAGCAGACTTTGTCTCCTTTGAGCTTAAACTTATGCCAATGGTAAAGTATGGAATGGGCGCATGGGGTATACTGCTTTGGACCTTCTTAAGCTCCTTGAGTCCTTTGAGAAGGATGGCTTATGAAGTCTTCGTGTTGCAACATATTGCTTGCGCGGCAGTATTTTTGTGGCTGTTGTACATACACGTACCTGAGTATGCTAGGTATAACGTATGGTTTGCTGTGGCGGCCATGTCATTTGACTGGGTTTTGAGAGGTATCCTACTTGTTGTCAGGAATTTCAGAGGGAAGGTTGTCGGAGCAGCTTGCAGAGGAATGCAAAGAGTTGGCCATCAAGCGGAGTTACAAGCTTTGAGTGATGATATAACCATAATCAGTATCAAGGACGCACCATTCACATGGAAAGCAGGTCAACATATGTATCTGTGGCTTCCGAGGCTCGGTCCACTTGAGACTCATCCCTTTACTATCGCGAGTCCGTATCAGACATCGAATAAGTGTCATTGTAATGAGATCCAACTTGCGATCCGGGCTCAGAAGGGATTCTCGAGAAGAATACACAATTACGCATCGAAAATGCAGAGTCTCGACAAGACTGCTATTTTGACCGCATTTGTTTCTGGCCCTTACGGTGTACCTCCAGTATGTTCATTCTCTTCTTCCTCGAAAATCTAATGATTCCCTACTAATCTCACTTGCAGAACTGGAGCTCTTATGAGACTATTCTTCTAATCTCCGCTTCTACTGGTGCATCTTACACCCTCCCCATCCTCGAATCAATCCTCCATAATCCCACACCAACATGTGTGCAGCGAATTCAGTTCCTTCTTGTGGTCCGCGAGCGTAGCCACATCGACTTTTATACGAAACGGTTAGGAAGCGCGCTTGCTCTTGCGGACAAGAAGGGTATTCAATTAATTGTGAAAATTGCCGTCACCGGCAACGATGGAGCATCAATGACTAGCTCAAAAGCTGAAGAAGGAAGAGCAGGGTATCAATCAAGTGAGGAGGATAAAGAAGAAGATTCAAAGATGAAATCCATTGCATCTAGCTCATCATCAGAGGCAGGAGGATGCTGCTGCAATCCGCGATCCAGTGGGACGGCAAACGACGAAATCTCCATTCGAAGTTCCAAGCGTCAATCATATAACGATGAAAAGAATCCAGATAAAACAGAATCCCTCGTCACCACCCAACAAATATCTCGCGTCTCTGGAGATTCTCCTCAACCTGGCGGTGGTTGTTGCTGTGCCAAAAAACCGGAGGCGAAATCAAGCGAGAAATCACGGAGGGGAGTGAGAGATATAATATATTTGAATGGAAGACCAGATATTAGTCAATTTATCAGAGGGCCAATAGAAATCACGGGAGGAGAAACTGCCATAACAGTCTGTGGTGGAAAGAGTTTGGTGGCTAAGGTTAGGAATTCAACAGCCAAGTTGAGTGATGAGAGAGCGGTGCATAAAGGAACGGGGGCAAATGGAATTTTCTTGCATGTGGAAGAGTATTGTTTTTGAGCGAATTTAGATATCCAACACCTATATATTGATATTTTCACTATTCTTGATCGAAGCCTTTCAGCCTTCACTCTCTCCTCCTGAGCGGCGCAGCTCGGCTCGAGGGTTTCTTGTCTTTGTGGTACCAATCCTTCATAATACCCCTAGTAGATGTTCTGCCTCTAACATACACCCAAAACTAGAATTCCACCACTACGCCTGCGAATTATGGTGTCTTACGATCACGTGATTGGCATCTTGTGCTCACTTTTTTCTATCGAGTCTCGAGCTTGTCCTATCCCAAGGTCCACTATGTCAGCTTGCTGTTGGTGAATTTTCTGTCATATTTCAAAGAAAACAAATGCCAAGCAAATTGACAACCATTATCCACCATGCGAATAATACTGGAGAGAGATCTGTGCAGTATACGACTCATAAAGTCCAGGGTGCAAGCTGACAATGAGTCTAAATGAGTATGATGATGCGCCAATCCCTGGCTGCACATCACAAAATGATTTGTTCATGCAAGGTGACATTCCTTCGTTCCTTCGGTGAGAACAAAAAACCCGGTGCCGATTTGCCAGTATCCTACGAACAAAATGAGATGGCTTACTTGGCACCAACCTCACTGACTTATAAACATGAAATATGTACAACGTCTTCCACTATCATCTGTAACTAAATCACACTTCGCGACTTTTTGTCGGCTTCTTAGAGGTATCATACCACAAGAACTACATGATATGAAAACACACCAATATGTCAACCACACCTAGCGAACACATTCCGCTGTCTAGAAACCATCTCTGGGGCCCGGAACGAAGACGTCTTTCTGCTCATCTCATTCAAAAGGCTCTCGATGCACTACCAGGCTCTCGTTCTTCGGAACATTTACCAAGTAAACCATACAAGACGGTCAAGAGACCGTATGAACAACATAGGTATACGGGAAAGGCGAGTAAATCTTACGTGCCTCCAGCGCCTGTTAGTGAGAGAACGAAGAGAAAGGAGAGACCACTGACGCCGAGTGAGGGTTATGGATTGGGCGTTTTTGGGATGGTGTTTGAGGTTGATAAGGATGAAGTGGAGCATGTGGAGAGGAAATTTTTTGGTCAAGGGGGAAGTATATTTTTTGGAATGTTGCCGTTGGAGGTGAGGATGGAGATTTATAAGTGGGTGCTTGGAGGGAAGGTGCTACATATCATAAGAAGGAAGGATAAGTTGAGTCATGTTGTTTGTAAATGTGATAGAAAAGACTCGGATGTAGGGACGAGAGAGGAGGATGCGTGTATCGTTGCGGGATGTAGGGGCGTGAAGATACTTGGCGGGAGTGGGGTGCATGAGAGAATTGGGGAGAGGAGTGGTAGTTTGATTCAGCTGCTACAGGTTTGTAGACGGATGTATGTTTATATTTCACATTTATCTCGCATTTACCTTGTGTCTCTCAGTTTCATCTCTTCTCCTACTTCGATCAGATATCTGAGTGTCATTGAAAGATTGAGGCAAAACTTGAAGCTAACAAATATAGTTACTCTGAGGCAATCTCTCTTCTCTACTCAACCAACACCTTCAACTTCGACAGCATGGAATCCTTCATCTCTTTCAGTAACGAGATCCTTCCCCATCGCTTTGATTCCATAACCTCCGTAACCCTCGATTTCTCCTTTGATACATCATCTCGTAAGCATAATCAATTCTTTGATTTCGCACTTTCTGATCTCTTCAAATATCAACCTCCCTAACCCCTTTCCTTCTCACCCCATCGTTATCCCAAATATTCCTCCTCATCCTTCTGCCCTTACATCTGTTCATTCCCAACAGCTCACTAACATTCCCATCCATACAGTATATAACGAATCCTCCTCTAACGACGTGCCCCGTTGGGAACGTACATGGATGATAATCGGATCCATGAAGTCGCTTAAAAGTCTCAAAGCAACAATCATCTGGCCTAGGATAATACCAGCTTGGAGTCACGAACTGAGATTGTTGGAACCTTTGAATATGGTAGGGATACTAGGTAAGGATGCCAAGGATGGTAAGGGTAAGAGTAAAGATGATAAGCGTAGGCCCGAAAATAAAGATGGGTTTGAGGTGAGACTGAGGGAGTTGACGAAGGAGGCAAAGGGGAGAGGGAAGGCGAGGGCTTATGAGGTGGGAAAGGGATTTGTGGTTGGGTGAGTTTTCCATTCTCATTGGTACACGGTTACTGACTGCGATGGTGTAGAAATGCAAAGATTGTACCGGCAGCTGGATTTGATGAGATCACAGAAGAGGACTTGCCGTTCAAGGTTGTTAGGATGAAGCTGTAAGAGACGAGAATCCAATGTGGAAAGTATATTCTTGAAACGTCTACTATGGGGTGAAGGTGGCACAGGAACAAAAGGCACGGAGTTGTGGATCAAAGTGAATGAACTTCTTGCAGCTATGGTTCTAGTTTGTGTATTCTAAGAGAGCTTGACGATGAACATAATGGTTGAAACCATGGCCAACTCGGAGACTTGAGGTCGAGTCAAAAGCCATTGCATGTTCAACTTCCTAAATCTACCTAGGTATCTCCTCGAATAGCCGGGATGATATGAAGTTCGGGATATCAAGAAGACTATGATGGGCAGAGCAGTGGAGTTCAACGAATGCAAATTCATCATTGTATCAGAGACTTCCGTCTCCCAAAATTCACTTCTATTCATCTCAATCTTGAGCTTCAGGTGACCAATTAAAAAATTCAGATGGAGGAGATGGTGAATTTGAAATGATGCCATGGTAACAGAGATTTCAGGGCAATTTTCACGCGTAAATATTACCCATATGATATTCCCACAAACAAATCTCCCACAACAACCTTTTCCTAAAACCTTACAACACACAAAAATTCAAGATCGATTAGTTAAATCTTTTTGGATTTCTTTCCATTTCCTTTGGGAAACGGATTTCTTCCTTCTTCTTTCAATTAAAGTACATCATTTCACCATTGCATTCTCACTGGCTTTGCATTTGTCAATTGCCGAGGCGCTCTTTACCATAACAACGAGACGCGCACACACTTTGCAGTGGCTTCTGATATTATTGCAATTCAATTTCTCCCACCTGTTCTTTCCTCTTTCTTTTTCAAGATGGACGAATCCAGAAAACTCGAACCCACAGCGGAAAAAACCGAGCCCTACCATCGGGAGATACAACTTGTCTTTCAAGAATTTATGGAGCGCGATACAGATTCTAAAGGCAGTAGCTATGACTTAGCAGATCAAGCAAGTCTACAAGAATACAATGTCGCCGTCGCAAAATTGGAAGATCGAAAACGTCGTGCTAAGGCCACTCTTCATGAAGATGTGCTTTTGGAAATCGATAACGCCTACAAGAAAAATTTGCAAAAGTTGCAAGCACTGGAGGCAGATTGTACCAAGGAGCGAGAAGATTTGGAGAAAGAATTGTTCAAGAAAAGTGGTAGATCTTTCAAGAAACTTCAAGAATTGCATACTAAGAGACTTTTGCAAAGTCAAGAGTTCAGCGAAAGAGCCAAGGAAATCTTGCAGAGAATGTCGAAGAGCTTGATACAAGAAAACAGTATTTCCACATTGGGTTCTGGTCTTGCGATCTCTGCCACAGCCACTGGCGCCGCCATCGATATCCCATCTACTAGTTCCGCTAGTGAATTGACGATGCCTGTGAGTCGAACTGGGAGAGTGATTCAGGATCAATCCATTGTGGCTAGCCCAGATGATAATCAACCACTTTTCATGGATTCTCCAGACTTTGAACCCAGAGTTCCTCCACCGATGGGAGCTTCATGGACTTCTTCTCCTATGGCTGCAAGCCTTCAGGTCAGACCATCTCCAAATGATGATCACTCGATTAATCGTCAGAAGACTAAGGCCTTGTCATCTACCTCGATCAAGAGAGAAACAAGTCCTACAATGAATGATGCATCCTATTTTCGAGACCCTTTGGACATTCATGTTCCAACACAATCGCTGGGAATGGCCTCTGACAAGCCTTATGGTTCTCATGCTCAGTCCTGGTTTCCCTCTGTGGATACCGCAGGCCGATATAGTAGCCTTGGCAGGGAGAACGCAACAATCCTTCAGAATGGTTCTATACCATCAATTTCAGTTTCTGCTAGACTTCAACCAGCTCATGCGCTGAACTCTTTGGTCAACACCCCCACATTGGACGTTCCCAGCTGCCCTCCTGCCTTTGAACATATCGCACGTCAAGGTTACTCGTCGTCACAAATCAGTAGACCTCTCATGAGCGCTCCCAAAAAGACACTGTCGAACGCTGAACTTCCCGATGATGTCTCGAGCATGAGAAAGAAAAACCCCACGTATCACCGCAAGGGACAACTGACCGCTCCCTTAAAGCGAAAGGCCTCTGACGCCAATTTGAGCTATCCTTACGATAGTACAGAGATCTCGAGGACTGGAGCCCCGACTCAAATTCAGGAAAATCATGATGAAGCATATAGAGTCCAAGAAGTACGCCCAAGTGCAACCAATCCTTCAAGTGCCAGCGGTGCGAGTAGGAACTGGACTGGCCAAGCCCCCCAATTTGGTCGGCAACAGGCTATCAAGGAAGAGTCAACTTCAGAGGTGACCGGGGTATCTCGATCTATGAATGTAGAGCCAGCACACATATCAAGTCTCGTCCATCAACCTAGTAATGTAGATGCAATGCAATCAAGGGTCTTGACTCCAAGAAATAGTCATGTAGGCTCCTCGCGAGGAGCAGTCGCTGGCGCTAGAACCTCCAGCCCAGAGCCGTTTCGACCAACAGCTATTACTAACAAGACTGGCATTGCAGAGGCTGAACTACACTTCGTTCTTTATATTCCTATCCAGTATATTTCTTATGATGCTGGCGCCCCATCTCGCTCCTACCCTGTTACCTGGGCTGGGACGAAAGGCAGGCTTAATCCTGGGCGACAATTCGGTTATAACTATAGCCTACAAGTGTTGCTCGCGAAAAAGGGAGTCTTACACCCCTTTGATGGCGGTGATAACAAATCCTCAAAGTATCCCGCGTTTGTAGTCGATGGTTCTTGGATTCTTGGAGGCTTCTACCACAGAGAGTCAGGCAACTGCAGAATCGAGATTTATAGGCCGAGATCGAAGAAGGAGTATAAGGCGGAAGTCGAGGAAGGTTATGACCGTGTCGAGATCCAAAGCGCGAGGTTGAGAATTGTAATTGCCAAGGAAAGTGACCTTAATAATTTTGTTCATTGCTATAAAAAGTTGCACCCCAATGCTGAAATTCGTGCTGAGTATGTCCCCCATGAAACCGTCGATCGTTCTTTCCTCGCGACCTCTAGCTAATTTATCTTGCTAGTGATCGCCTTGGCTCCCTCGAGGATTTCCATGACGAGAACGGTGATTCCGATCCGACATTGAGAGAAGGTGAGCACATATCCACTGGGATGGTTCTGATATTCAAGACAAGCAACTAATGCCACCACAGAAATCGAGATCAGAGCTCAAAGATTGGCACTTGCCGCACCCGTTGCAGTCATGACTTCGGCTTGATCGATTCATTTCATTGATTTTTTCCCGGCAGAGGTACAGAAATACAACAAAAGCCGCCAAGAGAAATTTGTACGACTATAATGAACAGTATCTTCTGAGAGAATTTTACCTTGTGTATCACCAAGCGGAAGCGCACCCATCGACAAAAAACATCCCCAAAAAAACTCCAAAAAGCTAAAACCCCGGAAAAAAATCCCCTGACGAATAACGAATACCTGGTATCTACGAATGACGAATATTATGAGCTTACGATGTACGAACATAGAAATTGACATTCAAGGTAACGCAGCGGATCATTTTGTAAGACTGCACACATGAGAGTTGATGAGAGAATGACGGAGATATTGTCCTCAATATTTATGACGATGTTGGATACCCATTTTGGCCTGGAGTACGAAAATGGCAATATTCATGCAGAGGGCTACATGATAACAATCATCTTGCACTAGCAAGAATGTTGCCATTTCAAAGGGCTGGAGAAAGTTGATGACAAGTTGCAGAAAATGGTTGAAAAGGAGATGAAGAAAAAAAAAGGTGAAGTAAAGAGAGAACAGTTCTGTCTGAGTAGATGTAAAAAAAAAGTTCTTTTTTTTATACCTTTGTCTTTTGACAACTTTGACCTTGACATAAGGTCAAAGTACTGCTATGTGATGTTCACTATTCGCCCTTGTCCCGAGATATGTATACTTGAATTTGCAGATTGACATTGCCAAATGTGATTTCGTCTCTGGTTGACCTCGGACGAGCAGGCAGAATGTTGAATGTTCTTTTCATTCTACCAGAATGATATGTTTTCTGTGACCTCTGTGACCAGTGTCACAAGACACGTCTATGCTATGTTCATTGATGTGGACCAATAATCTAGATTTTAGGATTCATGAGGGAAGCAAACCCCCTTTCTCAACTTTCAATTCCTCAACTCCCTCAAATGCAGGTATATCTATCTATCTATTTAAGCACCACCAACTCCAAATTTACAATTTACAAAAAACGGTTCCCACCTCTCCGCCTCCATTCTGCACTAATGTACTCCTCTCTCTAACCCAAGCATTTAATCCCCTCCTTCCATTCTCAACACCTACTCCGCTCATTTTCCAACCTCCTACGCTCATCTCCGCGGGACTCTCTCCCCATGAATTAATCCATGTGATGCCAGCTTCAATTTGACCGATCACTTCATGACATTCGTTAATATTCTTGCCGAAGACACCAGCTGCCAATCCTAATTTGGTATCGTTGGCGCGACGGATAACTTCTTCTGTGGTAGAATATGTGAGGATGCAGAGAACTGGACCGAAGATTTCTTCGCGGGTAATAAGCATATCATCTGTACAGTCTGTGAAGACTGTAGGGCGAACCCAGAAGCCTGATTCATGGCCACTTGGAATATTGGTTGGTTTTTCGGGACCACCGTAGAGGAGTTTTGCTTTATCATTTTCAATTCCGTGTCGAATATAGTTGAGCACTTTCTTGTGATGGATTTCTGAGACGAGAGGACCAAAATTGCTGTTGGCATCCATTGGTTCCAAAGCTCTAATGTATTCCATCTTTTCGACAAGACGTTTCTCGAATGCCGATTTCATACTTTCGTGTACGAAAACTCGGGTTCCATTTGTGCAGACTTGACCGGTCGAGTAGAAGTTGGCCATCATGGCTCCATCGACAGCATTTTCAAGGTCGGTATCTGGGAGGATTATGAGAGGACTTTTACCGCCCAACTCCATGGTAACATATTTCATGCCGCCAGCTGCTGAAGCAGCAACCTTTTGTCCAGTTGAAACTTGACCTGTGAAACTTACTTTGGCAATACCTGGATGGGTGGTCAAGTATCCTCCTACTGATCCATCTCCATGTATGATGTTGAAGACTCCCGGTGGTAATCCAGCTTCTGCATAAACTTGTGCGAGGATTTGGCCGTGTAATGGGGTTACTTCCGATGGTTTATAGACCATACAGTTTCCAGCTGCTAAGCAAGGTGCAGATTTCCACAAAGCGATTTGAATTGGATAGTTCCAAGCTCCAATGCCGGCACACACGCCCAAAGCTTCCTTTTTGGTATATATCCATGCATCTGGTCTTAATTGTGTAGTTTCGCCATTCATTCCTCCACTTGCGACTAAGCTTGCGAAATATTCTAGCACGTCTGCTCCAGTAACAACATCGACTGCGCTGGTTTCTGAATAAGCTTTGCCTGTATCGTGTGTTTCCACCTTAGCAATTTCATCGTTTCGTTCGCGAAGTATTTGAACGGCTTTGAGAAGGATTCGGGAGCGGACAATTGGTGGTGTCTGGGACCATGATGGGAATGCTTTGCGTGCCGAAGCTATCGCGGAATCAATATCTGATGGAGAAGCCTTGTGTACCTGTGCTAAAGGTTTTCCTGTTGCGGGGTTGACTGTTGTGAATGTTTCTTTTGAAGTTGCTTGTTGGACTTTGCCATCATAGTAAAGCTGTTGTTCTGCGTATGTAGACATTTTGAGGATAAGTTTTGATGATCAATCTTCTGCTGATACTCAATGACTTTCAATGCTCACTCACTTCTTTCACCAATGAAAACCTTAGGATGATACTACACAATGAGGTAAAGAAGAGAATGGGTCTCGAAGCAAATAATTTCCTTAGTGGGGCAAAAGGAGAGCGCACACCCTTGATACCGGTATTCTTCGGTAGCTAAGAAGTGAATTCCTGGAATGGACCTCGTGGACTTGATTCAAACCTCTACACCAATACTAATTGGGAATCGTGGCCAGTGTGGAGTGGGAAAAATTGGATACGATGAAAAATATCCAAGATGGAAATTGTCAAATATGGCGGAATGTCGGACCAGAAAGAGAATCGTTTGTCAGATACCGAGCGGAATACTGGATACGGGAAATCGCCTTCTTCTCGGGGGATTGTAGATGCAGATGAGGCGATTATATGTTATTGATGACCAGCCACCTTTGCTCCGTACTCGGTCGATGGATCTAGATAGCGGGAGGGCTTGTGAATCTTTGGAGATGATGATAAGGAGGAGCAAGATGGGAAGTTGAATGGCATTGATATGGATGATAAGTCAAGGGGGAATACGATATCTAATGATATCGATATCGATAAGACAAGACGAGGGGGATACGGTAGCTAGTGGATCGTATACTCCGTCGAGTGAAAGACTTTACCTGGAGAGTTAGATGAATGAAGTTTTGACTGCTTGAAGTCTGATGGAAAGATTATGTACGATGGAAGGATGTAGGGAAAACCTCACTTCATTTGGTAATGACGACGATTGACCAGGTTAAAAGTAACGGCTTGGCATTTTACATTAACTTAGATTGTAACAACTGGGTGTCAATACAAGTCATTATTGGTCAACATGTTTCAGTCCCCCAGAAAAGCTGACCAGATCTAAACCTCATTTGGTCTAATACACAATACATCAAACAACATCAGAGCAGAGCACCAGGAAAAAGTTTTCCTTTGAACACTACGATATTCATTCATTCATTCATTCAATCATCCATTCATTGACTTCCATCAGACTTCAGACATCAGACTTCATACCTCAGATTAAACTTTTCTTTGTGCAGTATATGATTTCATTGTTCGAGATGGTTTATGTAGGTAGAGTAGGTATCTGCTATCCATACTCCTCTAGCAAGAGTATCGAAGTGATGATTAATGATAACCTTATATGATTTCCTAAACACATTGGCATCTCCTTCAACTGATCGACTGACTGACAGAGTCAAACTATCATCTACATGTACGATTACTACGACATGATTCAAAAAAGGCATGGCATGACCATGATTCATTCATTCTCTTCTTGACCAAAAAGTCAATTTTACTACAGTATTACTGGACTGAAGATCCTTGATAACTTGGTAAAACTACCAGGGACTTTGTAAAGGACTTCTTAAACATTCACTAGGAGGGAAGTTAGTTTCTTAAGGCTAGATAGACATCTTTTTCTCTCTCTCCATTTTTTAACTAATTTTTTCTTCTCCGTTCTCTCTCACTAACAAATATTTTTTCTTCTCCGTTCTCTCTCACTAACAAATTCCATCTGGATTCGTCTTCACCGTCATTTCATAAGTCAAACCATCCAAAAGACCACGCGCCCTCTTTCCCTACTTGGCAATTTTTATCTATCATTTTAATATTTTATATCTTTGCATACCTGGCAGGCAATAGTCAACCCCAGGGGGTCCGTCTTCGATCGTCCATAGTCTCTTACGATACCGCCTTATACGATTATACCGAATAACCTCGATTGGGAATCCACTTCCAGCCCCTCCCCGACTAGGATATCATCAATCTCAATCCCTAGATAGAAATCACCTGAGGGCGACCTTCTACACGTTACTATTACAAATACGTTCATCGTTTCTTATTTAGATCTTTTTCTTTTGAATATAATAGAATCCTTTCCTTTTGGATATTCAAAACTTATCAGACCAAGTATTCAAAATGACTACCGATCTTCTCTCCCCATCTCAAGTCAACGACTTTGACTATGTCATTGTTGGAGGTGGAACGGCAGGATGTGTTATTGCTAGCAGACTTTCCGAATACTTACCAAATAAGAAGATTCTTATGATCGAGGGTGGTCCAAGTGATTTCAATAATGACAAAGTATTGAAACTCAAAGAATGGCTTACATTACTTGGCGGAGAATTGGATTATGACTACGGAACCACGGAACAACCAAATGGTGATTATGATTTTTCTCAGAGCAATGGAAGTTGATGCTGACAGAATATAGGAAATTCATACATTAGACACTCACGTGCTAAGGTTCTTGGAGGTTGCTCCTCTCACAACACTCTGATATCATTCCGTCCATTCGAGTATGATTGTCAAATTTGGGAGAGTTTGGGATGTAAAGGATGGGGATTCAAGACCATGATGCGTCTCATTGATAACCTCCGCAACCAAACTAACCCTGTTCATCCACGCCACAGAAATCAAATTTGTAAGGATTGGGTCCAATCTTGCTCTACTGCCATGGACATTCCCAT